TAACTATTGCTAAGGAAGTAGGCTTGTGAGTTTGCCTGTGTCTTTCTCCCTTTGTTACTCCTTCCCCTGGCCCAACCATAGTAAGCTTCTGGATAAATGAATTAATTCCTTATTATTTGATCTAATAATCTAATTCCAAGTTGCCCAAGTATTAAGTTATCCAATGTTGAGTTTTAGAGTATTTTCTCTGCCACCCACCTCTACAGTCAATTGTTCTTTCATTTCTTTTGCAGAGGAGTTGCTGGTTGTTGCCTTGGTCTGCTCTGCTATCTTCTTTTCTTATCTTAAATAATTTAACATTATTAATCTTTCTGTCATTTTCATATATTTCTATTTTTCTAACGTGCCTGTGGATTTTCTGTTGGGAGTAAAGTTTCTTTTAGTACATTTAATTTTTTTTATTCATAAGTATATTTTTAGAGGGTGTTTTCCTCCTGGGAAATCTCAATTTAGTTGGATTTTGGGAGTAATACTTTGAAGTGGTTTTGCATTTCCCTTTCTCAAATTTTCAGGGTCATTATCTTTAGATGAATTTTAAATTAAATTATTGACTAGTAGTCTTTTTTCCCATCATAAGTCATGTAAATTTTAACTCCATTCAAGCCTGTGTCAACAGATGCCTGGGTTTTTAACCCTCAATTTTTTATCATGAATACTTTCAAACAGCAGTTGAATGAATGAAATAATTAACTTCCACATAACCAACATTTATATCTAAGAATTGTTAATGTTTTGGCCAATTACATAAATAGTATTTGTTGTACCATCTGAGAATATGTTTTATATATGACACCTTATGCCCAAATACTTCACTATACATCTTTTAAAATTTTTATTCCTCCACAAAATTATAATACCATTAACACTCTTTGAAAACTTAACAAGTTATTTTCTAATATTGTGCATTATATTATATTCAAATTACCTAAATTATTCTCAATACGCTCATTCTAGCTGTTCTGTACAATAGGGATCTCATAAAGTTCTACTTGCTGATTTAAAAACATTATTTTGGTAGGAAGGGTAGAACCCAGGGCCTTGCACATTTTTAGGCAAGTTCTCTATATCTGAGTGACTTATTCAGAACCTTTTATTTTTTTGAGACAGTATGTTACTAATTTTTTTCATATTGGCACTGAACTTGTGATCTTTCTGACTCATCCTCCTGAGTAGCTGAGGTACCAGGTATGTGCCACCATGCAGAGCTAAATATTTGTTTTTTATTTAATATCAACAGATTTTTCTGGGGCAAAGTGAGATACTTCAATACATATATATTATGTGCAAAGATCACACTGGAATAATTAGCATATGCATCATCTCAAACATTTATCATTTTGTGTTGGAAATATTCAAAATACTCTGTACAAGCTATTTGAGAATACTCAGTTCATTGCTGTTAACTATAGTGATCCCACTGTACTGTAGGTCCTCTGTACCCATAAACTGTCTGGTTTCAGAACCTCCTTCCTAGACTCTTGTAACTACTATATTATTTACTTCTATGAAATCAATTTTTTGCTATGTATGGAGAATATGCAGTATTTGTCTTTCTGTACCTGACTTATTTCACGTAATGTTTTTCAGTTTCATTCACATTGCTACAATGTGACAAAATCTCATTTTTCATATTAGTGAATAATATTCAATTATGTATATATGCTAAAATTTCTTTATCCACTTATCTGTTGATGGACACCTTATCTGATTTTGTATTCTGACTATTGTGAGTAGTGCACTTAAGAGTGAAGTTTATTTCTTTGGTATGACAGTTGCACTTTTTAAAACATATACCTAGAAGTGGGATAGTTGGATCATATTTATGAGTTTATTTTTAGTTTTTTGAGAAAATTTTATACTGTTTCCATAATGGTTGTACTAATTTACATTCCCACCAGCAGTGTATAAGCAGTATATAATTTCTACATATCCTCACTGGGATTTTTTTTAATTTTTTGCTTTATTAATAATAACCATTTTGACTAGGGTGAGGTGATTTTTCATTGTGGTTTTGATTTGCATTTTGCTGATGGTTAATGACCTTGAATGTTTTTTCTTATATGTATCGGATAATTTGTATTTCTTCTTTTAAGAAATATGTATTCAGATTGCTCATTTTTATATTAGATAATTTGTATTTTTGTTGTTGTGTTTTTTTAATTCCTTATATATTCTGATAGTAATTTCTTTTTAGAGAAATAATTGGAAAATATTTCCTCCAATTCTGTAGGTTGTATCTTTATTCTGTTGATTGTTTCCTATGCTATGCAGTAGCTTTGAGACAGCACTCAAATAAAACCCTTCATTTTTAGCATTTCAAAAAAAGCAGGTAGATAAACCATATTCTTACTTCTTTTTAAATCACAATGTGGCAATAACATTTCTTCCTGTTATCAGTTTTCTGATTTGTCCCTGCATAGTATTTATTTCTTTTATAATGTAGTTGCCTTCTCATTTATTTTGAGAACATTTTCTTTGCTCAGAGAGCATGAGTTGTGTGTACATTGCTTGTGTGCTTAACTAAATATGTGCTAATTAACATACCATTGGGAAACTATTCACAGTACTCGAAAAGGAGCAAAATCTATATAGCACACTGTTATTTGCAAAAAGGCCATGAGGCAACATGTAGCAAATAACAAATAAGGTACACCATCAATTTCTTATGAACTTCCATGCTTTCATGATAGATCAGTTTTTGTGAGAAGTCAGAGCTCCCTTTTGGTTGAGGAATGAGTCCTTATAGAGGGGCTCCCTGGCATGGAATCTCAGCATCTGGGAGTGGTGAGTAGACACCCCTCAACAGTGTTATTTCCAATGTTGGTTGGGATTTAGTGCCTAAGTGGGGTGAGGAGGGCATCCTTGGAGAGGGAAATCTGTGTGGGTTTCAGAGACCAGTCAGGGTAAAGGGTGTATCTCTGTTTAGAGTCCATTGTTGAAATTCACCATGTAAGCAAGGGATAGAAGGAATTCTTACTGGTAGTGGAGGACCTGACATGGGATATCAAAGCCCAAGAAGGATGAAGAAAATGTCTGTGCAGAAGATAGACATGGTGTGGGTTTCAGAGACTGAGCTGGATAAGGAAGCTCTCCACATGATGGCATAGACCCAAAGGGTAGTCTGGTCCTTATATGGTAAGAACTTTTATAAGTGGGAGTAGACTTGTGTGGTCTGTTAGAGCTCAGGGAGACCATGTGGTGGTGAGAGATATGCTTTAAGAATCTGATCTGTGTCACCCTTAAAGAAAAGTAGAACAGTTATATAGCATGACCCTGAAACACCCCTTTCTATTTCCAAGAAACCACTCAAATTAAGGGAACAGTATGAATGTTCCTCAACTTAATTATTCAGGTAAATACTATCTTGTAGGACACTGACTTTTTTTCATGTATGTTGTAAATTTGAGGGTGGCTTAGCACGAGGTGTCAGAACCTCAGCAAAGTGAGGAGAATGTCTATTAGATGAGGTGTGGTTGGCTGGCCATTGTGGGAACACTCAATTAGAGTGAGGACGGCTATTGTGCAGGGGACAGTGGTTGGCCAGGGAGTAAAGGATATATCATGGAGAAAAGAATGTCTAGGGAAAGATGGTACAAAAGATGAGAGATTGGTAAAATCCAGAGTAAAATCAAATAAGTTAAAAATAAGTGAATAAGTTAAACATAATGAACACAAATTTCTTTCTGTCACTGATGTGATAGAAGTGTGACAGAGGGAAATGTGAAAATTGAGAAAATGAAAATGAAATCTGAGCTATTGAATTAGAATTAGAAGTATTACTGTGAATTTAGGGTTTTCAGTATATGTTGATACAAAAATAAGGGTAGGGGACATAGCTCAATTGGTAGAGTGCTTACCTTGCATGTACAAGGCCTTGGGTTCAATCCCCAGCAACACACACACACACACACACACACACACACACACAAATGTAGAAATGCAATGGAAACAAATATAGAGATGAGAAAGGAGAAGAGATGTGGAGGGAGGGAGACAGATATAATAGAAAAAAAGAGTTAGGGGTGATCAAAGAAGGGGAATCATTTTGGAAGATCTGAGGGTAAAGAACCTGGGCATGAATTCAAAGTAACCCTCTGGACTGGTCCTACATAAAAAATTTAGTTTTTGGACTGCTTACATCTTATCCTTTGGACAAAAAATTCAGATTTTGTACTCAAGTTCATTCTCTTCTATATGTGATTCCATTCAATTTTCCTAACTGATAAGTATAATCATATATACCTTCCAGAGGTGGTTGTTAATGTGACGTAGGGAGTAAAAGTACAGATAAGTATGAAATGAAAGATGGCCTCCTCTTTTATTGTGGCTTTCAGGAGTTCTCAATGTAACCAGTAGCAAAATGAATAGAGATTCATGATGGAACTGATTTTGAACAGCAGGGGAATACAGAGATCACAGAGGAGCACCATCTGAAAATAAAATTTAAATTTTTGCTCCCCCACCATGCTAAAGGAAGGTGGCTCTGAACATGTATTCAGGAGATTTGTGTCAATGATAACCTTAGAATGTAGTACAAAAGAGCTGCCTTATCAGTCAAACATGATGATATGAACGCAATGTGAACAAGTGTTGCTCAGGTGGTTGGCTAATAAGAGGTTACACTTGCATGTAGAAGCTCACAAATTTCAGTTTTTCTGTTGAATTTATAGAATGAAGTTCTCAGAAAAGATTTCTTTAATTGCTTGGTTCCTCTTTTCCTTTCCTTCCTATTTCTTTTGAGTTACCACTTTTGTTATATTTTTTAGCTATATTTACTATGACAGCTGAAATTCTCATCTGGTTGTCACGAAGATTGGACCTCTGTGGCCCAGTGGTTTCACATGTTTTCAATGTTAGGGTTATGTGTATATTTATTACTTCTGCTTTAATCTAGTTAAGTGGTAGAACAATTTACTCTCAGGATGGATTCTCATTTGTAATATGTTTTAAGAAAAATATTGCATGGGATATCTGAAAAAAGCAGAAGGTTTCTTCTCAAGATGGCTTTGGGAACAAATTATGCTGAAGTGAATTTCAAAAATGAATTGAAGTCCTCAGGCACCAACTCAAATTCTCCTGCAGGTAAAAATCATTTTCCAGTGGTCAAAGTTAATTATGAGTTGAAAGATGAAGAGACTGTTAATAAGCAGGGCAGAGGTAATGTTAGGTGCTGTTATATCTGAGTGATCATGTCTGGGACACCCAGGAATCTCTGAGGATTGTGCTGCCTGTAGATAGGAATTAAGGTGTTGTAAAGTTGCAAATGGGAAAGAAAACATCCATAGTACTTTCTTTACTATTATCATTTACAGAAAATCAGATGTTGAATTCTATTGTATAACCTTTCAGATATGAATATATAAAAATGTGTGTACCTATATTTCCAGAACTGAAAGAATATAATACTGAGATTTTCCTCCTCATCATTGACAATATACATAATTTTTTTGAGAAAAAGAAAAAAAAAGCTTATTGCTTTGCTAGCAAAGGAGAAACACAGGGGATTCCTGTTCCAGAGGCCATGTAATAAGAATTGTGATGCATTCTGCGGTCATACATAAATAAAAGTAAATAAATAAATAAATTTAGGTAATATACATAATTTTAAGGAAAGTGTTTCTCCTTAATTAGTGCTTTTATCTGAATGGAATGTGTCCCCACTGACCCCCTCATCTTTGGTGATGACCAATATTAGGTTTTATGTATCCTAAGAAAAGCTTGAAGGTATGCCCCCTGTCCAGAAAATGTTTTTTAACCATGAAATAGTGACTAAAGAGGCTGAATTTATCTTAAAAATATGAAACTTGGTTAGAAAGATTTATCTTGTATAGTTTACTTATAAATGGATGCAATCTGWAATATTATTTAAATATGTAATAAATAATAAGCAACCATAATACAAATATTAATAAACAAATTATGGTGAAAAAATGTTCATGATGCAGTATGAAAAAATAATGAATCAGAAATCAGTAAATATGTATGTCAATGAAATGGAAACATGCACATATATGTTGTAAACACTTCAAAAATTGCTGAAGAGACATGTGCCAAAAAATTAACAATAGTTATTCTCAATGATAGAAATTTTTGTTTTTGGGTATTTTATAATGTTATGTAATAAACATTGATTTTTTAAATTTCCATTTTCATGTTATTTCAAATATTCACAGTATTAGTGATTGTGGTTTATAGAAGAAAATTTAATAAGAGGAGTTGCTTTTTTTTTTTTCACTGTGACCAAAATACCTGATAAGAACAACTTACAGAAGAAAGCTTTATTTGGGATCAACATTTCAGAGGTCAGTCTTTGGTGAGTCAGCTCCATTACTCTGGCTCTAAACTGAGGCAGAACATTATAGTGGAAAGGCATGGCAGAGTAGAGCTGTTCAGCTGATGGCAGCCAGAGGATCATGGAAGTTTCCACTGAGATTTCAAAGGAAGACTTGAGTGTTCAGACAAAGTGAAGCTGTGATGGAATCCCTTCAGGATTCCCTTGAGAGGGCATGCATGAAGCTGTGAAGGGGAAGCTGAAGCTGGAATGGAGATCTCAGGGATTAAGACATGCAGGTAATGTGGAATGTCTGCTGAGGAAAGCTGTTGGCTGTAGAGGGAGTCAGCCTAAGAAAGCGACCTCGTGAATTACAGCCAGCAAGGAAATTTAGGTGGTGCTGCAGAAGCCCTTTGAAGATTACATCTCACCACAATATTCCCCAGATTCTGGACATGGAGTTACAGAAACTAATATCTGCCTGACTGAGTTTCACTTGTTTTGGTTCCATCCCTTCCTCTATATCCTTATTCCTCCTTTTTGGAATGGGAACATTTACTTTATATCATTGTATATTAGAAGTATATAACTTTTGATTTTTACAGAGGCTCACAACACAGAGTTTGTCTTGAGTCACAGAGGAGACTTTGGATGTGGTCTGGAACTTTGAAAACTATGGGAACTCTTAGAGATGGACTAAATGTATTTTTCATTTTTTGTGTGAGATGGATGTGATGTTTTGAGGGCCGGGAGTAAAATGTTATGGCTTGATTATGAGATGTGCTCCAAAAAGTTTATGTGGCAATTCATAAATGTTAAGAGATAAAACAGTTCTGAGACCCATAACCTAGCTGGTGGATTAATGTATTTGATGGATTAATAATTAGAATGGATTGCTGGTTGGTAATCAGGTGGGTGGCTGAAGAAATTCGGTCACATGGGCATGCCTTTTGATTATATACTTTTTATTTCAATATTTTTATGGATGAATTATAATTCTACACAACAGTAGGATTCACTGTTACATATTCATACACGTACATGATATAACAATATAATTTGATCAACATCATTCCTCAAGGGATTATATTTTTTCCCTGGCTCCTTGGTTGTTCTTTCTGCTTCCTGGCTATCTTGAGCTGAACAGCATTCCTCCACTACACTCTTCTTCCATGATGTTCTGCCTCACTTCAGGCCCAGAGTAATGGAGAAGACGGACCATGGACTGACACCTATGAAACCACAAACCCAAAATAAAATTTTTCTACTATAAGTTGTTCTGGTAAGATATTTTGATCACAGTGACAAAAACCAACTCACATAGAGGAGGAAATGGAAATAAGGATAGAACTTATTACTGATGAGGATAGAATTTATTACTGATGAATTAATTTGATTTATTCTTCAGATCCCAGGGAAAACACCATTCCTCACCAGAGTAATTTTGGTTTTTCCAAGCTTCTTCTTGCCTTGTTGCTGATACTTTTCCTGCTGAAGGAAATCTTATTGTCTGTCTCTTTTATCAGTAAGTATGCCAACTAAGTCAGTCAGCAATGCCTGCCTTTCATGAATAGAAGCTATTCATTAGAAATTGACATTTCACAATGATCCAGACCTTTGAAAAATAAATTTTTGGGGGTTTGGGTGGGTGGATAGAGTTCTTGAGCATTTACTGGGAATTTTGCTTTTGCAAAAACAATGAGATTCATCTTCATTGAGAGAATTTGAAAAGTAGATATATGTGTATGTGTTGGTTTACAGAATGAAATCTATGAGTCATCAGTTCTATATTAGATTCTTTGTATGGACACATCTATAATTCCTTACTTGTATTTATAAGGCTAGCCTTATTTGACTTCACAGACATTTATATTTTGGGATGAGCAGGTGAACATGCAGAAGATGTCAAGAAATGTTCCAGGAAGAGTTCTCCAGTGAATTTCCTTCTAATAATTTCTGTTTTGGTCAATTCTGTGATAACTAATTTAACAAATAAGTAGATTTATGCATATCTTGTATTTCAGAGTTTATCAAGTTTTCAAAAGTCATAAATATCAGCATATATTAAGATACATGTTTTATTCATTAATTTGGTAATTTAACAAGTAACAATGGCTATACATATTGTTTGCTAGGCGCCTTGTTAGAGAATCCAGAAATAGCCATAGCCACTGGTGTCAAGACATTAATAGAATAGTCAAAATAACCAGTGCTTTCAACTGTACATGGGAAGTGTTGTTCAGGTAAGAAGTAAGTACAGGAGGCTGAGATAGGTTTGCTAAAGGAGGAGACATCTATGACTGTGTGTATCAAAAATAACATAGACATATTATAGTATCAAAGATTTGGGGGAAATATAAACATGGCATATAGTACTATGTGAAAAACTATGAAATGAAGCTGGTTGTGGCAGAAATAAACAGAACTAAGATCATGAAGAAAGTCATGTACCATTATAAAAAATTTTTGATATTTTATAAAATATCCTTTGCTCCTTAATAAAGAAGTCTAAAACAGTGGATTGAAACAGCTATTTATTTAGCTCATGCTTCTGTTCCTTGGCAATTTAGACTGGTCCTATTGGGAGTTTCCATAGGTCCTGACTGAACTCAGTCATGCATATGCTGTTAGGAACCAATCACAGGCACCCTGGCTTTTGAGGAAGAGCATGTCAGCTGGAATGAAAGGGGCAATAACCACATTTCTCTCATTACTCATCAGGATAGCCTGGGTTTGTTCACATGGCCACTGGCAGATTTCCAAAAAAGAGGGAAAAAGAAAACCAAGCACAAAGAAGTTTCAATTTCGATTTAGCATGGTTATTTTGCAGGTTCTTTTGACCAAATGGAATCTTAAAGTCAGCTTATACTGTAGTGGTGAAGAAACAGACCCCACTTGTTGATTGTAGAACATGAAAATTCACATTGGGAAGGGGTGTGAGTATAGGACGGGTGGAATATTGAGGCCCATCTTGCAGTGAGTTAGTCCTGGCCAGCCATTGTGGAATTCTGGGGAAGGAATTGACATAGTCAAATTTAACTTTGGGGATATGCTTTTACTGAGGTGTGAAAATGGATTTATGAGGACAAGAGTGAAGGTAAGGAGAGGTGTTATTTCCTGGGAAATGGATAGAAGTAGACAGCATTGTGTTAAGTGAGATAAACCAGAATCAGAAAATCACTGGTTGTATGTCTTTTCTCATATATGATAATTTGGGAGCAAAAAGAGAAAAAGGGGTGAGCTCTCATGAAAATTGAGGGAAGAGTAGTAGAGGAAGGGGATAGGGTGAGGGAAGAGAGGAGAGAAATTGGAAGTACTAGGAATGAAATTGACCAAATAATATTATGAGCACATATGATTATGTAACAGTGCATCCTATTGTTATGTATAATTATAATGCACCAAACAGATGCTAATTCATAATCCCATTTTAAACATTGAGAGCATCATTTAAGGATAGTGGTGCTAGTGAAGAAAGAGAAGAAAGGTAGCTTTGAATGGTAAAGGAGATATAATGAAGGAGGCCAAGGCTTGATGATATTGGGGATTAAAGGACCCAGAGAAGATAAGTGTGAATATGTAGTTTGATCTTGTAAACTCAGCAGTGAAGAATTATTCAAAGAGGTAGGCAATATAGGATGCATAGCAGGTTTTTTTGGAAAGATGATTATTTACATTTTGGGAAAAATGTGTCAAACCACAAATGTACATGTCCAGTGGCAGGCATATTTGCTTGGATTTTAGAAAAGAGGTCTGGCATTTTGGAAGTCCTTCATATAATGACAGCAAATCCCAGCATGGGAATATATGCTATCACTCCTTAAGAACACATTAAGCAAGAAGTAAGGATTATGATAGAACTCTTGGAAATGTTACATTTTTTAAAAAGTTGAATGGAGGAAGAGAGCTGATGGAAGAGGATAAGAAGTGGCAGCAAGAAAGCGGAGGTGGAAACAGGTAGAGCACTGCACCAAGAGCTACAGAGGAAAACCCAGGGTGAATGATGCAAGAAGGTCATTAGAAGGTGACTAATAAGTGGTCCTAGAAAATTACTGATGATCCATTTCAAGGATTGTTTTAATAAATTGATGAAAGCCAAAGCCAGAATATAGTGGGTCAAGGAACAAATAGTAGGTTAGAGGGAAAGAGGAAATTTAATTTCTTGCAGTAATTTCTCCCAGGGTCTTGCATCTTCTAGGCAAGTGCTGTAATACTGAGATACCACTGTAACTCAGAAAATTCAATTTCTAGGGGGAGGTGTGAATTAGTTCTCAAATGGGAGAGACCTGGTGCACTGAGGAGTTAGAATCAGTTGTGATGAAGAGAGTTAAAAGACAAAAGAGATGAAGAACAATTTTCTCTTGATCAGTCTTGGGGTTTTTGAAAAACATTTTTTTCTGTTCTTTAAGATAAACCAGAGTTGCTTAAAATTAGCAAATTCTTCCTTCCCCCAAAGTCCCAGGTGGTGTACTTCCTTAAATAACTTCCACTTCCTTCCTACAATATTTAGCCTTTGTTGGCGTCTTAGGTTAAGTATTGAAGAACACTGTGGACAAGATCATTTAAGTCCCATTATGATGAAACTGTCATGTCCTCTTTCAACTCTTCATCTTTTAGCTCTTCCTGAGAGATACCTAATCATTTAAAAGTAGTAGAATCATGATTCCATTGACTGTGGGGTCAAGGGGAAACTTTTCCTGTCAGGCTCTGTCCTATCAGGTAATCAGACATTTGTGGATTTTGTTTCTGTGTAGAACGCAAGAAAGTAATGTATGGAGCAGTAACCTAATGCTACTGGAAAAATAATTGGTTTTTATTCTATTTTACAGCTTTCTTTCTAAAAAATTCTCAGCTGCTCAAAGAAACAAACTATGAAAGTTCTACAAAAGAAATGATTCATACAAATTTGGAGTGTGTAAAAATCAATTCAACCATGAAAGGTAAAACTTAATGTGCGTAGAATTCAATTACTGTTGTAGGTAATGATCCCAAATCAGAATTTATGATTACCAGGGAGATCACAATAAGAAGTGGAATCTCATGATCGTTCCAAGCTACAAGTGTATYATATAATTCATAGGGTCTAAAATTCTTGTTTTGAATTCAAAGTTGTTCATGTGAAGCTTGATTGTGAAACAGGATATATTGGTGTAGCATTTATTATGCCTGTGTTTTTTTCAGAAGTTTCTGTGCAGTACAGCTCCTTTTCTCACATGTCAGTTAAAAAATATTTGATGACAATAATGATAATGGCTATATTATTGTGAGATTGAATTATTCATATTAATATATGTTATTTAAAGACCATATTTCCGTTTACAAAAACATAAGCATATGATATCGAAAGATCCAGTTTTAATTCCATCCTGCACACAGTGACCATTGTGTAATTAAGAGTATTTGCTACAAATAATGAATCAATATTAACATATTATCACTAATTAAATTTACAATATTTTTGATACTAGGAATTAAACACGGGGTTTCACACATGCTAGACAAGTCTATCACTGAGCCACCTTCCTATACCACAGTTTTTGTTTTTTTTCCTAAGTTTTCAACTATTGTTCTTTTTCTGTACTAAAGTCCCATGCAGTCTGTGAAATTACATTTAATTGTCATGTCTCTTATTTGCTGTGATAGTTTTTCAGACCTTCCATGTTTTTGATGACACTGACAATTTTGGGGAATACTGTTCTATATATTGTAGTCTGTCTCTCTATTAAAAGTTGAAGTTTTCTAATGGTTAGATTGGGATTATTTGTTTTTGGGGAGGAAGATCATAGATGTAAAATGATATTTTCATCACATTTCAAGAGTATATGTTATCAAAATAATTTTTAATAATTGATGCTAAACTTAAAGCTACTTTTCCCTCTTCCATTTCCACACTGTACTGTTTGTGAAGAAGTTACTATGCCTAGCTCACACTTTAAGATTGAGGAGTTATTCTTGTCCCTTAGGATGGGGTACTTAGGGTTTTCTGGAGGAACAGATGCAATATGAATTTGACAATTTAGTTTAAGGATTTGGCTTTTGCAATTATGGAGGCTTGAAAAGTTTAAAATTTGATATGGGTAAACAGCAGGGTAGAGACTCAGGGAAGTAGCAGTTTGAGAACAATGACAATCTGCTGCAGGACCAGGAAGAGCAAATGTTGCAGATGAAGTCTAAAGGCAAGTTTGCTGGAGAATTCTCTCTTGCCTGTGGGGTGCATTCTTTTGTTCCATTAAGATCTTCAACTGATGGGATGAGATCTACTCACATTTGGAAGGCAAACTTCTTTACTAAAATTTCACAAATTAAAATGTAATTCTCATTCAAAAATATCCTTGAAGCAATACCCAGAATGCTTGATAAAACTAGTATATAAAATTAGCCATCAAGAAGTATCTATATAATTTATTTGGAATTCTTATGCATTTGACGTTTGTCTTTTCTATTCCATTTATTAATTTACTCTATCTTTTACATCTGCATGCACTCATGTCTATTTACTTTATATTTCAGATTATAATCCAATGCCTCTTCATTTATCTTGTTATTCTATCTTTGACTCCTGGGTGGTATTTCTGTTGGCTCTTGTGGCCTTTGTCATTTGCCATCAATGTGTTTTTTGTTTGTTTTTGTATTTTACTTTCTGTAACTACAAAATGCTCTAGACTCATGTTGTCTGTTTTCTGTCCCTATCTAGAATTAACCATTTCTATGAGGAGCCCTGATTCCTTTTATTGAAGAATAATATCCTAGAAATTTTGATATGTTGTATTTTTATTTTCATTCATTCAATGTATTTTTTAAAGTTATCTTTGACACATCTTTAACTCATGGGTTATTTATATGTATTATTTAGTTTYAAGTGTTTGGTGATTTTCTGTTTTCTTTCTTTCATTGATTTCTAGTTTGCTCTCATTGTTGTTGAATGACATTATATGATTTTAAATTTCTTGAAGTATGTTCTGTATCTCAGTATGTGGTCTATCTTGTCATAGGCTCCATGGGCACTTGTAAAGAATGGGTAGTCTGTTGGTGAGTAGACTCTTCTAAGAATGTTGATTGGATTCTGTAGGTAGATAAAGTTTTTTGTTCTTCAAAGGTTTTCTAATTTTCTGCCTGGATTTCTTTAATTTTATTAATCTATTTTCAACTTTTCTTTCCACTTGTGTGATTTTTTACTTCATATATTTTGCCAACCTGTTATTTGGTTGGTATATTCACATTTGAAATCATGATAAATAAAGTTCTGTTTATTTGTTTTTATTATGTTTCTGGTGTTTGGTTGGAAAATTCTGTTTTTTTGTCCCTCCCAATTCACTGATTTCTCTGTTCCCTCCATTCTGATGTTAAGTCCTACACTGACATTTTAAAATGTGATTATGTTTTTCAGTGATAAAATTTCTGTCACTTTTTTTATATCTTTGTTTCTTTGTTGGGTCTGCTATTTTAAAAAACTTTGCTTGAAGAATGTTTGCTCCTTCTTATTAGAGCATCTTTATTATGGCTGCTTTAAAAATCTTTGTTACATAATTCTTTTTTTTAAAGAGACAGTGAGAGAGGAGAGAGAGGAGAGAGAGAATTTTTAATATTTATTTTTTAGTTCTCGGCGGATACAACATCTTTGTTGGTATGTGGTGCTGAGGATCGAACCCGGGCCGCACGCATGCCAGGCAAGCGCGCTACCGCTTTAGTCACATCCCGAGCCCCTGTTACATAATTCTAACATTTTTGTTTTCATGATTTTTTACATCAGTCGTTTATCAGTTGAGAACTTCCTGGTTTTTGGTGTAAAGAGCTATCTTTTGCTGAACCTTGGACATTTTTGTATTGAGTTTTCAGTAGTGGGGTCTTATTCAATTATTATGTTTTTGCTGTCTTTTCCTGATAGCACTTCAGCAGGAGAAATGTTCCCTGACACATTAATACCTGATGAAGGCAGACTTGGCTCTTTGTTACATCTGGATGAAGACAGGATAATGGTGCTCATGTGGTCTCCTTTGGTCCTTAATTTTAATAATAAACACACTTTTAAAATAGATTTTCTTATGTTGCACTTATATTTCCTTCTTCCCAATAAAGGAAAAGTCTGGAGCTGTTGCCCAAAGAATTGGAAGTCATTTACTTCCAGTTGCTACTTTATTTCTTCTAAACAAAGATCTTGGAAGGAGAGTCAGGAGAATTGCTCTACAATGGAGGCTCATCTGGTGGTGATCAACAGCAAGGAAGAGCAGGTACTTTCTGAGAGACAATGGAGTCATGAGCCTGTCTGACTTTTGTACATATCCTTGCTAAGAAGGAATATTGGTGCTGTGACAGATGACTTTCCATAAGACAGATAGGAGAGGCTTCCTCAGCCTTCACATTCCACACCTTGTACCTTCTTCAATGTAACTAAGCTAACTTGAGAGAAATTGTGGAATTAAAAGTGATAGCTGGGGCTTTAGTGAAAGGATTAAAATAGCAGCTTGTTCTTTCAATATGAATATGTTTTATAAATTATTAACTGTTTAACAGAGAGAGGTATTAAGTTGAATAGGGAAATAAAGTGAAATTAAGAGTCACAGCAATTAGGAATGAAATTTAAGAATCTGTGAAAAATAATTAAATGTGTAAGAATTTAATTTGCACAAATTTGAAGAATGCTTCCTTAGTAACAAAAGTGGGGAAATGAGTCTGAGATAGGAATTCATTATGATTATGGATAGGAATTGCTTCCATAGTTAATGAAAATATGATACTTCCCTGCTTAGCTGAGAAAACCTGCACTTCTTGGAACCCCATCTGGCTATTCCTTCTTTTTTCCCTCATTTCTTTATAAAGATCTCTGTGGAAACCTCACACTATAACCTTTAATATGTATAATAGTTATGTGTTAATCAAAAGATTTTTGCTACACTTTAAAAAATTGGTCCATTACATTTGTACACATTGATGGGATTTTTTACTAAATTATTTATTCTAATTAGTTTTACATGATGACAGAATGCGATTCATTTTATATTACACATATAGAACACAAATTTTCAAGTCACTGGTTGTACACAAAGTATTTCTACACCATTTGTGTCTTCATATATGTACTTAGGGTAATAATGTCTAACTCATTACACCATCATATCTACCCCCCTTTCATGGTCCCATTCCCCACTTCCCTTTTCCCTCTCTAAAGTTACTCCATTCCTCCCCCCACACCATTGCCCTTATAAGTCAGCATTTTCATATTAAAGAAAACACTCAGTCTTTGGTTTTTACGGATTGGTTTACTTCACTGAGCATGATATTCTCAAACTCCATCCATTTATCTGCAAATGCCATGATTTTATTTTCTTTTAATGCTGAGTAATGTTCCATTGTGTATGTATATACATTATCTACTGAAGGGCATCTGGGTTGGTTTCACAATTCAGCTATTGTGAATTGTGCTGCTATAAACATTGATGTGGTTGTGTCCCTGTAGTATAGTGTTTTTAAGTCCTTTGGGTATAAACCAAGGAGTGGGATAGCTGGGTTAAATGGTGGTTCCATTATCAATTTCTCAAGGAATCTCCATACTGCTTTACAGATTGACTGCACCAATTTGCAGTCCCACCAGAAATGTATAAGTCTGGCTTTTCCCCTCACATCCTCACCAACACTTGCTGTTGTTTTTATTCTTGATAGCTGCCATTATGACTGGAGTGAGATGAAATCTTAGAGTAGTTTTGATTTGCATTTCTCTAATTGCTGGAGATGTTGAGCATTTTTTCGTATGTTTGTTGATTGATTATGTATCCTCTTTTGAGAAGTGACTGTTCATTTCCTTGGTCCCTTTATTGATTGGGTTATTTGGTTTTTTTTTGGTGTTTAGCTTTTTGTGTTCTTTATGTACCTAGATATTTGTGCTCTATCTGAAGTGCTTATAGTAAAAATTTGCTCCCATTCTGTTTTCTCTCTGTTCACCTCACTGAATGTTTCTTTTGCTAAGAAGAAGCTTTCTAGTTTGAATCCATCCTATTTATTGATTCTTGGTTTTAATTCTTGTGCTATAGAAGTCTTATTAAGGAAATTGGGGCCTAATCTGCCATTATGGAGGTTTGGGCCTACTTTTTCTTCCATGTACAAAGTCTCTGGTTTAATTCCTAGATCTTTGATCTATTTTGAGTTGAGGTTTGTGTGTGGTGAGAGAAAGGAGAACTAACACCAATACTTCTCAAACTATTTTATGAAATAGAAAAATAAGGAACACTTCCAAATACATCTTATGAGGACAATATCACCCTGATTCCAAAACCAGACAAAGACACATCAAAAAAAGAATACTTCAGACGAATATATCTAATGAGTATGTATGTAAAAATCCTCAATAAAATTCTGGAAAATCAAATACAAAAACATATCAAAAAATTAGTGCACCATGATCAAGTAGGGGTCATCCCAGGGATGTAAGGTTGGTTCAACATTCGGAAATCAATAAATGTAATTCGTCACATCAATAGACTCAAAGATAAAAATCATATGATTTTCTCAATAGATGCAGAGAAAGAATTTGATAAAATAAAGCATCCTTTCATGTTCAAAGCATTAGAAAACTAGGGCTAAGAGGATCATTTCTCAACATTGCAAAGGCTATCTATGTTAAGCCATGGGACAACATCATTCTGAATGAAAAAAAAAATTGAAAACATTCCCTCTAAAATCTGGAACAAGGCAGGAATGACCTCTTTCACCACTTCTATTTAATATAGTTCTTGAAACTCTAGCCAAAGCAATCAGATAGATGAAAGAAACTAAAGGGATACAGATAGAAAAAGAAGTGAGATTATCACTATTTGCAGACAATATGATTCTATACCTAGAAGACCCAAAACATTCCACCAGAAATCTTCTAGAACTAATAAATGAATTCAGAAAAGTGGCTGGGTATAAAAGCAACACCCATAAATCAAAGGTATTTCTGTATATCAGTGACAAATTCTCAGAAAGAGAAACTACGAAAACCACCCCATTTATAATAGCCTCAAAAAAAAAAAACACTTGGGAATAAACTTAAAGAATGTGTTCAAATACCTCTACAATAAAAACTACAACATGCCAAATAAAAAAGAAGATGGAAAAAAGAAGATGGAAAGCTCCACCTTGCTCTTGGATTGGCAGGATTAATATTGTCAAATGACCATACTACCAAAAGTACTATATAGACTCAATGCAATCCCAATACAAATCCCAATGACATTCCTCATAGAACTAGAAAAATTAATCATGAAATTCATATAGAAATGTAAGAGACCCAGAATAGCCAAAGCAATCCTTAGCAAGAAGAGTGAAACTGGTGGCATTACTATTCCAGACCTAAAACTACTGCAGAGCAATAGTAGCAAAAACAGCATGGTATTAGCACCAAAATAGACCAGTAGAACAATGGTACAGAATAGAGGACACAGAGTCTAACCCACATAACTACAGTTAGTTTATATTAGACAAAAGTACCAAAAACGTTCTTTGGAGAAATGATGTGATTTGTTGTTACATATTTGTATATACACACAATGTAACAATATAATTTGGTCAATATCATTCCCTATCACTTCTCTCCCTCCCCACTTCCCATCCCTTCTATCTTTCCTCTACTTATGAGAACCACCCCCACGTTTTTTTTGCTTTGTCCTCTCTAGCTTGTACATAAGAAAGAAAACATGTGGGCCCTGACCTTCTGGGTTTGACTTACTTTGCTTAACATAATGGTCTTAGTTTCATCCATTTGCCTGAAAATGACATAATTTCACTTCTACTTATGGCTGAACTCCATTGTGTATATATACCACGTTTTCTTTTTCCTTTCATCTATTGATGGACACCTAAGTTGGCTTTAGAGTTTGGCTATTTTGAATTGTGCTGCTATAAACATGAGTGTGCATGTATCCCTGTAGTATGATGACTTTAATTCTTTAGGATAAATATGCAGAAGGGCTATAACTGGTTCATATGGTGGTTTAAAACCTAATCTTTTGAGGAGCCTTCAAAATGATTTCCATAATGGTTGTACAAATTTACAATCCCACCAACACTGTAACACCGTTCTTTTTTCTCCACGTCCTCTTCAGTATTTATTATTTGTATTCCTGGAAACTGCCATTCTGACTAGTGTGAGATGAAAATCTCAGCATGGTTTTGATTTTTAGTTCCCTAATTGATAATTATGTGGAACTTTTTTCCCCATATATTTGTTGGCCACTTGTATTTCTTCTTTTGAGAAGAATCTGTTTAATTAATTTGCCCATATATTAATTATTTGATATTTTGGTGAAGTTTTTCAAGCTTTTTGTATATCTAGATATTAATCCTATGTCTGAAATGTAACCAGCAAAGATTTTCTCCCATTCTGTAGGTTCTTTCTTCACATTCCTAATTGTTTTCTTTGCTATGCAGAAGCTTTTTAATTTGAAACCATCCTATTGTGAAACTTGTTGACTATGCCTATATGGTGTAGTATTGAGCCTATCCTTTTTTTAAGGAATTGCAAAGTTTTGTTCTACTTTCTAGGTCTTTAATATATTTTGAGTTGATTTTTGTGCAGGGTAAGAGATAAGGGTCTAGTTTTATTTTTCTACATATGGATAACTGGTTGTCTCAGGCCCATTTGTTACAAAGGCTGTTGTTTTTTTCAATGTATGTTTTTGGCACTTTGTCAAGGATCAGATGACTATAGACGCGTGGTTTTGTCTCTTTGTCTTATGTTCTGTACCATTGGTCTATGTATTATGTCAGTACTATGCAGTTTTTGTTAATATAGCTGTGTAGTATAGTTTGATATCAGGTATAGTGATTCCTCCAGTATTGCTTTTTTTGGCTTAGAATTGCTTTAGCTACTCTGGGTCTTTAATTCTTCTGAATGAATTCTAGGACTGTTTTTTTTTCTTTTTTCTAGTTCTGTGAAATATGTCACTAGTATTTATATGAGGATTGCATTGAATTTGTATATTGCTTTTGGTAGTATGGCCATTTTGACAATATTTGTTCAGCTTGTCCAGAAACATCTTATCCATTTCCCTCTTCTGAGTTCTTCTTCAATTTCTGCAATGTTCTATAGTTTTCACTGTAGACGTCTTTTACCTCCTTGGTTAGATTTATCCTTTGGGTTTTTTTTTTTTTTTGAGGCTATTGAGATTGGAATAATTTTCTTCATTTCTTTTTCAGAAAATTTATTGTTTTTTGTATATAGGAAAGCTATTTATTTTTTATAAGAAGTTTTTAAAAATATAAAGAAGATAGAAATATTAACTACCCAGATTTAATTATTACACACAGTATGTATGAATCAAATTATGACACTCTATCCTATAAATTTATACAATTAAAATAATAGTTAAAATTTACCAAACTAAAAATAATTTATTTGTGAATATATTTGTTCATAAAGTTACTTGTGATATATTCATAGTGTTTATAGCTTAATTTAACAATAAATGAAATAAACAACAACAACCCCACCCAAAAAAAAAACAGTTGAGGTTGAGTACTCTACAGATATGATTTCTTTTTTTCTTTTCCTTTAGGATTTTCTCACCTGGAATTTGAATAAATCGCATGATTATTTTGTGGGGCTGTCAGATCCAAAGGGTCAGAGACATTGGCAATGGATTGATCAGACACCATATAATGAAAATACCATGTGAGTACAGAATTAGATAAAGGAATCCTGGGTCCTGTAGCATGCCTAAAATCTAGGGTGCCCAATTCTAAGATATGAAGCTTAAATATCTCATTTTTGTTCTGTTGGGCACTGGTTTAAATTATTTTATTATCTCATTTAATCATTAAGAAAATCTTACACAATACACATGATTTCTTATAAAAATGAGAAAGTGGAGTGTGGAGAGTATAGATAATTTATCTAAGGTCATCCAACAATGGTTTCCAAATTCAGGTGTATTGTAGTTTGCTTTTAACATATTTATATCTCCTTAATATAAATACATGCTTATTAAGATCATTACAGATTATTTTTAAATTATGATTTAATATTTCTCATAAAGAAGAAATTCAAACTTATGATACCATTCCAATATCTAACATTTATATTATCTTTTTTATAAATATTAATTTTTAGTTATAGTTGGATATATTTGGATACAATTTCTTTATTTTATTTATTTATTTTTATGTGATGCTGAGGATCAAACTCACCTGCACGTGTGAGGTGAGAGCTCTACCACTGAGCCACAACCTAGCCCCAGATTTATATTATCTTTAAAAACATTTTAGTATACTTCTACCCTTGATCCTCATATTTTCTTTGTGAAATATATAGTGCTGTTACTCTGGTTCAATTTTTAGATGGGCAAACTGAGAAAGAAATGAAATTATTTGTCCAAGAAAACAAGAACAAGTAGGCTCTCTAGAGATTTTGCTTGCCTTTTGACTCCAAAATCATTCCTGTAAAAAGGGGGGAAAAAGAAGAAGTATATTGATAATGGGACCAGATTGATATCTCTTCATTACATAAGAAAGCCACATGATTGACAGTCGCTGGCAATAGGACTATGGATGCACAAATAGAAAACAACCTCTGGGATGTCTTTAGGTGAAATGTTTGCTGCAATAAGGTATGAGAAAATGTTAAGTGATGTGGGCGCAGCTTTCAAGGGTTTTGATGGAGGAAAAACTGCATGAGAAGTGGGGAAGTGTTTGTCTGGGTATATTTGACCCTGACTTCCACAAAGTTCACCCCAGCCTATGGCCCCATAACTTCTCTAACCCTTTTAAAAGCAGTGTTGGAAGAATAACCTCATGCTTTTTCTCTGTTTCAGGTTCTGGCATCCAGGTGAGCCCAACAGGGTCCAAGAGCGTTGTGTTGTGTTAAATTATCGTAAACAATGGGGCTGGAATGATATTTTTTGTGCTCATGTTCAAAGCTCAATTTGTGAAATGATGAAGATCTACTTATGAATCAAACACCTTTTTCATGGACATGTTGTTGGATTCATGCCCATTATTCTAGAGATAACTATTAATTTCCTCTTTATATGAAAGAGATTCCATAGACTTTTAAGTAAGTTGTTATTTTACTTTTTGAGAAAACTGTCTACATGTTTATTTGTTTATTCATTCATTTGCTTATTCATAAAAATGAACATTTTCTATATGACTAAGAGTACACTGGAGACCTATTTTGTGCATACCTAGAATATACTTGAGCCTGTTCCCTAATCTCTGAATGCTAAGGGTATATTTATGGACATAAATTATATGATGTGGTTTGTCCACTTATCTGTTTTCCCTTCTCCCTTCTTGGCTTTATTGATGCATAATTTGGAAATACAAATTTTATATATTTAGGTTACAAAGTAATGATTTGATATTCATATATACTGTGAAATGATTATTATAATCAAGTTATCTAACCTTCCATTACTTAGCACAGTTTACATTATTTTGTGTTTTAAGAACACTTAAGATCTTTCTGAGGAGACAAATTTATGCTATGTGCATTTATGAACATATCACAATGAATTCCACTATTATGTATGCTTATAATATACCAATAAAAATTATAAAAAATCAAATTTCAGCTATGCAATATGACATTGTTAACTGTAGTCACCAAGGTGTCCAGAACTTATTTATACTTTAACTAAAAATTTATACCCCTTGGCCAACTTATTCCATTTTCCCGCACTTCCCAACCCCTCTCAACTGCCATTCTGCTCTCCTTTTCTTGATACTCACTTTTTTAGATTGTATACATAAGTGGGTTCCTACAGTATTTACCGTTCTTTGACTGATATTTTCACTTAGATTAATGCCCTCCAGATTCATCCATGTTGCTGCAAATTGCAAATTTATAATTTCATTTACAATTTTAATTGAGTCCTTTATCTTTTTTCTTTTATAGATTTGTTGAAGGCTTATCAATTTTTAAAAAATTCTGTAAGAAAACCAAGTCATTTTTGTTTATCTGTTTAATTGTTTTTCTAGGCTTTCATGTATTCTACTCTATCTTTATTTTATTCCTCCTGCTACTTTTGGATTTGGTTTGTTCTTTTCCAGTTCTTTTTAAAAAATATTTAATTGATTTTATTCTTTAAATATATGACAGTGAAATGCATTACAATTCTTATTACACATATAGAGCACAATTTTTCATATCTCTGTTTGGATATAAAGTATGTTCATACCAATTCATATTTTCATACATGTACTTTGGATAATGATGTCCATCAAATTCCACCATCATTGCTAACCCCCTGCCTCCTCCCTTCCCCTCCCACCCCTCTGCTCTATCTAGAGTTCATCTATTCTTTTCCAGTTCTTTAAGTTATAAAGTTAAGTTGTTAATTTGAGTTTTTTCCCCTTAATATAGGTATTTTTAGTTCTAAATGTTCTTTTGGGACTTCCCTTGATATATCCTATAAGTTTTGTTTTGCTGTGTTTTTTATTTTTTCTCAAGATATATAATATATATAATTTCTTTGGGGGGGGTACTGGGGACTTAACTCAATGACACTCGACCACTGAGCCCTATTTTGTATTTAGAGAAAGTGTCTCATGGAGTTGCTTAGAACCTTGCTATTGCTGAGGATGGCTTTGAACTTGCGATCCTCCTGCCTCAGTCTCCCAAGCTGCTGGGATTACAGGTGTGCACCACCACACCCAGTTTATATATATACTCTTGATAATAGTGTTATATATTATCAAAATATGATACATATATATGTATATACCTTTGAAAAATTCTTTAATCCATTGGTTGTCCTCAAGATGTACATATATTTTGCATTATATATGTATTTATATATACATATAATTATAATGTATATAATTTAAAAAAATTTTTTAGTCTATTGATTGTTATGGAGAGTGTTGTTTAATTTCCATTTATTTTGGAGTTTTTAATATTCTCTGGTCAGAAAACATACTTGATATGATTTTAGTCTTCCTGAATGTGCTCAGACTTTTTATTTTTTGGCATAACATTTGACCTGTCATGGGGAATATTTCATATAGGCTTGGGTATGTGCTTGAATTAAACATTTTTCATGTGTCCATTAGGTCTATTTGGAATGCAGTATTTTGAAAGTGTAATATTTCCTAGATTTTTTGTCTAGATGATCTATCCATTGTTCAGAGTATAAAATCTTCTACTATTACTGTTTTGCTGTTCATTTCTTTTTTCAGTTCTGTTAGGATTTGCTTTATGTATTTAGATGCTCTGATGTTGGGTGCATTACTGTTTACAATTGTTATACTGTGTCTTGTTAAATGACACATTCATTATTATATAATGGCCTTTTTGTTTCTTTTTACACTTTTTGACTATTTTAAAAATATGTATAGCCATCTCTGTTCTCTTTTGGTAGTCATTTGCCTAGAATATATTTTTCTATTCTTGAAGTTTTAGCCTATGTGTGTCCTTAAAGCTAATGTGAGTGTATTGTTTTTATGAAATATTTGGATTTTTGTGTGTGTATGTTTTGATGTATAAATTTAATTTATTTGCATTTAATGCAACAATTGATAGGTAAGGATTTACTATTGCCATTTTATTTGCCATTTTCTGTTTTACAGTTCTTTTGTTCTTCTCTTACTATTTTCCTTTGTGATGAATGATTTTTATGGTTGTATACTTTGATTTCTCCTTTCTTTTTTATATCTACTACAGATTTTCTTGCATGCCTACTAGGGGACTTACATAAATATCTTGTAGCTATAATATTGTATTTTATACTGAAAAAACCTAACTTCTAACATACAGAACAACTGAATAGTTTCAGTTCTCTCTTCTCTCACATTTTAGATTATTGACATCACTGTTTGTATCCTTTTATTTATTTACTTTTTGTACAGGGAATTGGACTCACCATCTTGTGGACTGAGCTACATTTCCAGCTATTTTGAAAAAAAATTATTTTGAGATTAGGGTCTTCTTGAGTTGCACAGGCTGTGATTTAATTTTATACTGTATAGATATCACCAAATTACTATAGGTATAGTTATTTTTAGTATGTTTAATTTTAAGCTTTTATATAAGGATTGAAATTTTTGCTTTTATATAAGGGTTAATGTACCATCATCACAATATTAAAAATTTAAGCATTTGCCTATGAATTGATCTTTATCCATGAGTTTTATAATTTATGATTTTATATTTTAGTTAATATTTTTAAATTTACATTTGAAGAAATATTGTTCGTATCTTTTGTAAGATATGTGATCAACTTCCTCAGGTTTTTATTTATTTTTTTGTTATTGTTTTTTCCCCATTTTTTTTTTCAGTACAGCTTTGCCAGATACAGTGCTCTTTATTAGTCATTTACTTTTCCTTTGAGTATTTTGAGAGTTTTTTTGGAGGTTCTATCAGAGAAGTGCAGCTATTCATATAGCCTTAACCAAAAATGGTTCTCTTCTATTGGTCCTCCTCTATTAAGGGAAGGTCCTCACTTTAACTATGTAGCTTCAAAAGGGCTGCATATGGAGTGGTGGGGGAGAAAAAGGAATGCTCCAAGTCAGCAGATTAGCCAAATCAAGCCTGGCAATCAGTGGAATGACAGATGATATGGCCAGGTTACTCACATATCTCATTTGAATATTTTAAATGTATTAAATGTATTATCACACTGTTTCTTGACCTGGAATATTTCCATTGAGAAATCTGTTTAGTCTTTTGTAGCCTCCCTTGTATATTATGAGTTGCTTTTATCTTGTTCTTTTCAAAATTCTTTCTGTATTTGACTTTTGACAATTTAATTATAGTGCATCTGGTGTAGATCTTTTCAGCTTCAATCGCTTTGGGGATTTCTGGTCCTCATGAATTTGAACTTATCTATTTCATCCAAAGCTTGGGGAGTTTCAACCATTATTTCCTTAAGTAGGCATCGTTTTTTTCCTTTCTCTCTGTTCATCTTCCTGTATATTCAAAATGTCTATATCATTTATCTTAATAGTTTCCCATTAGTCCTACAGGCTTTTCTCATTATTTTTTTTAAATTTGCTTCTTTGTATAACTTCAAATGAACTTTCTTTTAGTATACTGATTCTTTCTTCTGCTTGATCATATCTTCTGGTGAAGCTTCTCTATTGAGTTTCTCAGTGCAATCATTGCATTCTTCAGATTTTTTCCTCCCTATAAATGAGTCAGAAGCAAAGTAATTCCAATCATTATTTTCCATTTCTCTCAGAGAGATTTATTATTTTTAAATGAAAGCATGTTATGTACCCATAAGAATGTAATACAAATTAATGAACAGTAACTTTCAACTTTGACTTCATAAACTCTTTGAGCTTACTATCCTTCTTTGTTTAGTCTAGTACTGAAATTTAAAAGTAAAGTATTTAACTAAGATAAATTCGACTTTCCAAAATTTTATTGAGAATTTTTGCATATATACTCATTATAGATATTGGTGTGAAGTTTTTTTTCTTTGATGTGCCAATGTCTGGTTTTGGAATCAGGGTAATACTGCTTTATAGGATGTGTTTGGAAGTGTTCTCTCTTTTTCTATTTCATGGAATAGTTTGAGAATTATTGGTATTCGTTCTTCTTTAAAGGTCTTATATAACTCAGCTTTGTATGCATCTGGTCCTGGGATTTTCTTGGTAGGTAATCTTCAGATGGTGTCCTCTATTTCTTTGCTTTAAACTGATTTGTTTAAATTGTGTATATCACTTGGTTTTAGTTTGGGCATATCATATGCCTCTAGAAATTTGTTGATACCTTTGATGTTTTCTATTTTATTGGAGTACACATTTATGAGATGATTTCTAATTACCTGCTGTATTTCTTTAGTGTCTGTCATAATATTTCCTTTTTCATCATAGATGTTATTAATTTTAGTGCTCTCTCCTTCTCTTCATTAGCATGGCTAATGGCTCATCAATTTTATTAATTTTTTCCAAGAACCAACTTTTTGTTTTGTCAATTTTTTCAATTGTTTCTTTTCTTTCAGTTT